TGCGTATAATGGGCCTCTATGATTTCCCATACCACATATCGTGGTATCTGTGGTATGCCTCTTTTTACGTGGTATTGTCCTTCATCGTGGGGGCCCTGTCTTTGGTCGTCCTCCCAACAGTCAGCGCTCTCTGGCTTTTTCTCCTCGCCTTTCTGTACTTTCTCGCATCGCTGTCATTTGCCTTTGCAATATCGACCTTATTTGAGAACCCCAATACTGGCTCGACGTTAACCGCAGTGATCTACTATGTTCTTGCTATAACGGTATCAGTGCTTGACCGTGAAACGAGCAAGGGAGCCATCAGTTTGCTACCGCAATGCGCCTTCACTTTGGTAGTCCAGAACCTCGGGCAGCAGTTATTCCTGGGCATGGATAGCCCGTCGGCTAGATTAGCATATCAGAACTTCACCCTACTGCAAGGATTGACCATGCTCACCATAGACCTCATGCTGTGGACGTTATTGTATCTCTATCTCGATCAAGTTGTTCCTCATGAATACCGCGCCACCCGCAAATTTTATTTCCTGTTCACTCGTGGGTTCTGGCGGGAAATGATGGGTGAAGAGGACGAGGAGCGGTATCGAGGAAAAACAGCTGATCATGCTTCTTGTGAGATCAGTAGCGTTACTGTTGATGAAGGAATAGAAAAACTCAAAGGGGAAACGCAGAGGAACTTAAAACGAGACGGCCAAGTGGTATGCATTAAAAATTTGGAGGTAACTCTCAGTGTTGGAAAATATGCACATGGTCGACCACACGTGTTGGTGACAATATTAAAAATTTTAGCGTTTCTACCCGAATTCGCATATAAACTTCCATACAAGTGAGAAAATTTCAGAGCTCAGTTGAGGAAAGCCGTTTCCAACACTGGTAACTCTACTGACTCGACCATGGGATTTTTTATGCAGGTCGAGTTTGGAAATTTCCGTGCTGTGGACGGTCTGGACCTCACCATGTTTCGTGATGAGTTATTCGTCCTCCTTGGTCACAATGGAGCTGGCAAGTCTACGACTATCAATGTCCTCAGCGGCACGATAAAGCCGAGGAGAGGGGTGGGGCTGGCGGCTCAGAAGTGCATCGTCACCATCACTTGCCAGGACGTGACCATATTCAATCGAGAGGTGCCCGCGGAGATGCCCGTGATAAGGAGGAGTATGGGAATCTGTCCGCAAAATAATGTCTTGTGGGACGACTTGACAGTGTCGGAGCATTTCGAGTTGTTTGCCAATATTCGCGGTTTGTCTACCGATGCGTACGCTGTGGAGTTTGCGGCTGAGGTTGAACTGGGGCATAAGTTGGGAGCACGAGTGAAGACGCTATCTGGTAGGCTATGGGAATTTCTATAATGTCACTAACTTTTTTTGCATTAATATTTACTATTAGAATAGAGAATATAACGCCATGCAAATCGATAGAAATATAACGTCGCTGACTTTTCTTATATTAATATTTACTATTAGAGATAGTGAATATAACGCGATATAAATATGTAGAAATATAACGTCATTAGCATTTTTACATTGATATTTACTAGTAGAGAAAGTAAATATAACTCGATATAAATATGTAGAAATATAACGTCATTAGCATTTTTACATTGATATTTACTAGTAGAGAAAGTAAATATAACGCGATATAAATATGTAGAAATATAACGTCATTAGCATTTTTACATTGATATTTACTAGTAGAGAAAGTAAATATAACGCGATATAAATATGTAGAAATACACTGTTTTTGTATTCAGGAGGTATGAAGAGGAAGCTCTCGGTCGGGTTAGCATTCGTAGGAGATTCGAAGTTGATCATACTGGACGAGCCGAGCAGTGGTATGGACCCGAGTGCCCGGCGTAGGATGTGGGACTTCCTGAGATCGAAACGTGAGGGAAGGATTATCTGCATTACTACACACTACATGGACGAGGCCGATGTGCTAGCTGATCGAGTTGGCATAATGGAGAATGGCAAGTTGATGGCTTATGGCAGCACCAGCTTCCTCAAGCGACAGTTCGGTGAGTGCATACGGTTATTCATTGTGTTTATATATGCATCTTCACAGTGTTGGAATATATGTTGGCTTTCTTCAGCTGAGCTCAGGAGTTTCCTTACAAAATATAGGGGTTTACATATGAAATCGAGTAGGAGTGTTCAGAAACCAACAAGTTTTTTCCTCAGAAATTTACTATCACCAACATATGTAGTTGACCATGTGCATATTTTCCTACACTGCATATTGTGTTCATATATGCATACAGTGTTCGCCAATTCGATATGCAAATTCGAAAAATGAGCGTTTTCCCGAGATTAATGATAATTACTCTAACACTTTGCACATACAATGTAAACATTGCTACGAACATGTATTGTGAGAAACTTAATCGTTTGACAGTGTGATATAGAAAAATTATCCCTCTTGTCATCTCGCGCTCGCCCAGATGTCCCGGAATTGGTAAGCATTTTTTTATTTCACATTACCATTAATCGTAAATCAAATTTGCATGCGCTGTATTGTGTTCATTCCCCAACCTAGGTACGGGTTATACCCTCAGCATTGCCAAGAAGGACTCCACGGTCGCCGATGCCCCTCTGCGCGAAGTCGTTCGGGAGAGCATCGACGATCCGTCCTCCGTCCGGGTACGGTCCAGTGCTGGTCAGGAGCTGGCTCTGCAGGTATCTGCAAATGTCTGGAAATATCTTACCGTAATTTTCTCAGATTCCTTTTGAGAATGCTCCTCAGCTGCCGTCTGTGTTCGAAAGCCTTGATGTGTTAAAGTCAGAAGGAAAAGTATCGTCCTACGGCATTTCGGTGACCACGATGGAGGACGTCTTCCTTAATGTGAGCTTCCGATAAGCGTTTGATGACGACTTTTCCCCTTCAGGTTGCGCGCCGTTCTCAAGGTAATGATGACGAGCAGTTGTCCAAGCTGAAGAGCCGATCGTATTCGAGTGAGGACAGGAGTGTCATGTGCGACGTGGTGCTAAAGCCTAACATGATGCAACAGTTCTCCGGTCTGATCACGAGGCGGGTAACGTACGCTTGGCGAAACTGGCCTGGGACTCTGTCGGCCGTACTCATCCCATTTCTGGTCATACTTATTCTTATGGGTTTGCAATACCTCGGTGTGTCCGTGCCCGATGCTCGCAGATTGGATCTGAGCTGGAGTGAAGATACACCCTACCAGGTCTCCTCACATGATCATGTTGTCGGCCGGTGGGATCTGAGCGCTCCAGAGGTGGTCACTGTGCAGAGAGGCGCGGTTGGCTTGCCAGATATTAGTGCGGCTACACCCCTAACACCAGAGGAGTTCTACATTTGCAATCAGTGGAAGCCGTATGAGATGATACCTACTGCGAGCTCATCGTTTAACATCAACTTGTGTGCGGCAATCCTGCGGTTTTCGGCGACACTTATTGATGAGAAAACTGCATGGTTTGAAGTCACTGCGTTGGGGGTCACCTCGCGCTCTGTCTTCGCTGATATGACCGCCCTGCATATGACGCCGCTTGCCCTGGTTGGTGATGAATCCGTTGGTGTAGTCAACTATCCCTTCCCTCACACGGCGTATCAGGAGAGCAAGTCCCGAAGTAATCTCGTGCTCACTCTGGCAGTTGGCGGCTACTTTGCCATTGCTCTCACTGTAGTAGCAGGATCTTTGCTGTCATATGTCATGATGGAGAAAACGAGAGGCATCAAAGAACAGCTCTACGTTAGTGGCTGTGGTTTGCTGACCTATTGGGTGGCGAGTTGGAGTTTCGATTTTCTCCTCACTTTTATCGCGATATGCCCAACGTGGATACCCCTAACTATTTTCGACATTAAGGCGTACCTCGACTTAAGCAATATGGCCGCGGTATGGATGCTGCTTATTGGATTCTGTTTTGCGATGCCCCCATTTAACTATCTCGTGTCCCTGCTCTCACGTACCAATACTATCGCTACTTACATGCAGGTGGGGGCCGGCGTAGGGGGTGGCCTTATTGGCTCTTTCGTCGTAGCTGTTTTGTACTATGGTGTTGTTGCTCCCGAGATCGCCTTGGTTCTCGCGTGGATGCTCAGAGTTGTTCCCACCTTCCCGGTGGCGCAAGGCCTCACGACACTCTTCTTCGCTCATGTGGGGTACTTGAATGCTCCTACGGGTGACCCTGTCGAGACCCACGCCTTCGACTCGCAAATGCTGAACACGTGCAGTGAAGTTCGTCTCAGCGGCCTCGCCGATAAAGTATATGATACTTGTTTTGGAGTTGCTGGTGATGATGTGATAATGCTCTTTCTCTCGGGAGTGATATATTTCGGTCTCACCATCTTGATCGACTATAGGAAGAACGATGATAAGTGGAACCCCGACCGACAGCTGCATGTCCCCCCGGAGAAGCGTGGTGAGGAGGATGGGAGGGTCGTAGCAGAGAAGGGAAGGGTGGCCAAGCTCGAGCCCACCACGCAGATGATCTACTTTAATGATCTCAAGAAAGTCTACAACCCGGGGAAGAAGAGTGAAGTGAGTCTCTCGAGTCGAGGATGTTATTAAAATGGAGTAGGTATGGGCAGTTCGAGGTATCAACTACGCCTTGGGTGATGGTGGAGTCTTCGGTCTGCTCGGTGTCAACGGTGCTGGCAAGACTACGACATTCAGGATGCTATGTGGGTTGATAAGACCAAGTTGTGGTCACATCACACTGCTCGGTCAACCACTGCTCGGAAACGTCTATGAGGTAGCGAGCAGTGAAGCTATTGTATCGACCTACTTTTTTCATAGGTTCGTCGAAGCATTGGGTATTGCCCTCAGGACAGCCCCTTATTGGAAGGACTTACCACTGAGGAGCATCTCATTTTGTAACTCCATTGGAGTGCATTTGATCACAGTTGTTTCCCTGTCTGAGATACGGTCGAATCCGTGGAGTATTGCCCGCTGTATTGGAGGACCATGTTTCGGAGTTGTTGGAAATTCTCCAGCTCGAGTGAGGGTCTTCATTCTGAAGTGGAGCCCGATGGATAGTTGGTGTTTTTGTCTTGTAGGCGTTATAGTGACAAGATGGCAACAAGGCTTTCTGGTGGTAACCAGCGGAAGCTCTGTGTTGGCATCGCTCTGGTTGGGCAGCCTTCCTTGCTATTCCTCGACGAGCCGACCACGGGTGTTGATCCTGATGCACGGAGGTAAGCACTCTCACGGTCTCAGTGATAGTAGTCTTTGTCGTTCCATTTACAGACGTATCTGGGATGTCATTCACAAGATAGCTCACGGGCGAGCGAAATCTTCCGCGGTTGTGCTCACGACGCATAGTATGGAAGAGGCTGATGCTCTGTGTGAAACTATGGTCATCCAAGTGAGTGCTGCCTCCCGCTCGTGGTGGGATTTTGCCTGTCTCAGGTCGACGGTCAGTTCCGTTGTATTGGTTCATCCCAGCAGATCAAGACGGATTACGGTCAGGGCTTCAAATTGTGGATATCCTTCGTGGAGTCATCAGCTGCTACTGCGAGTAGTGAGCTCCTCAACAATTTCTTTGTCGCCATAAATAGTGACAAGTCTGGGCGAGTAGAACTGACTGATGAGGAGGTGTGGACGACTCTTGGCACGCTGGGTGAGGAAATCGTTGGCACCAGGCTCGTAAATCCATTCCTCAGGTATAGCAGAACCTCGGATTTTCCAGAGTATCATAAGCACTGGTACCTTGAACGAGTATAATAGTAAACGTCTATTTACTGTTGCGGCGTTGACCGCAGCAGTAGCGCGTGGAGCTCTGCACGTTAGAGCTCTTAATTGGCTGCATGCCACTATATCTCCCGAATGTCAGAGCCTCGGCGAGATTGGGGAATTTAGTCTGCCTCGTACCATCAATCTTGGTCAAGTGTTTTCAAAACTAACTGATTTTGAAGTGAATAGAGATCTGTGCTTTAATGATTTTCAACTGTCGCAAACGACGTTGGAACAGATTTTCAACAGATTTGCCCAGGGTGACCCTCCATCGTGATAAAACATTGCATGTAAAAGAAGTTGCTCTTAGTATGGAAATTCATTCTAATTGTAAACGCTCATGATTGACCATATGTGCCACAGTCAGCTGCCGAGTTTGTCCTCGAGCTTGGTCGATTGTGTTGCGAATCGTGGTCTTCTTCTGGGAGTGCTACTGTGCTCTCGAAGAGGCCATAGGTATCTATAAGTTCCACAGCCAGCGGTTATATCAGTTTCCCGTGGGGAATATACATTTTATCAGTAACGTATTGCCTTGATAGAACACGATGCATGGTTGACTCTCTGTGTTGGATCTAGCGCTTAGACTGTAGTGCATGGGTGTAGGACACGACAAGTGATGACCGAGATGTTCGATCTGGGAGCGTTGAATCTTTTGCCAATGAGCACTACCCACATGTTGGCCACGGGCAAGCTGTGGCGCCGAGTATTATTGAATCTCCTCCCGTAGTAGCATTGCCGTTAGCGAGTATACATCGATTTCGATCAACGGTCTTCAGCATTCTCGGACCACTCTCGAATAGGATCGTCCATAGCAAATACCATCCTAAGCGGATGGAGCCATAGAGTTGTTGTTAGGCGGTGGCCGCCCTTAGAAGAGCCCCGCCCTCCCGTCCTGCGCTTAGATTTCTACTCGCATCGTTCCACGTGTATCAGAACACTGAACACAATTTGATCTGCACTATGCGGATGGTCACTGCATTTTTAGACCGATCAGAATGCGTACTCTCCTTTCGTTTGATCTCGATGATTACTCGAAGCTTCTGCAGCGTCATAGCGTCTGAGAACCTCACACATGGCGGGAAGTTCACGCCGAACTGTGCCGCGCTCCAAGGGAAGGTTTATCCCGTGTTCGACCGGGAGGCAATGCTTCAATTCATACCGCACCATGTACTCATCTGCTGAAATCCGTTGCTGTTGAAAGGTCGGTAACTGTCAGGCGATGGTCCACAAGGAAGATTCTGAGATGCGAATCATCCATCCGGGCAAGATGAGCATCCTTTTCATGCTGAGAGAACGCAACTCTCTAGGGCAACTACTCGGCAAGGGTAGGTCCTTTAGCGGCGAACTAAGGGAAGAGCAACTCTGCGTAGGTACGTACGACAGGAGCTCGAAATACGTCTTTCATTTGAATGCAGGGCAGGTTGGAGATATCATAGCCTGTGATCGGCCCGCTCTTGTCCTCAACGGTGATTACAACCAAAGTGATGTAAGCCTTGGTGTGGGATTGGTCAGCTTTGGTCGGGATGCTTATCGATCTACTTCCGGTAGGCCCGTGTCTACTTTCGTCTGCACGAGAGATACTATCGCGAGGTGACACTGGAAAGGGTAAGCGGCCCCTGGTATCGTGCGCAGGCGTGCAAACCTCCTCAGTCAGGACACAGCGAGCCCATCACCGTCATGATGCCGGAGCCCGAGTTCTTCACCATCCGGGCTATGCTCAAGGTATGCGGTGTAGTTTCCACCGAGGGCTAAGATGGATCTCGCTTCAGGGTGTTCTGCCGAGCTTCTATGGTTGGGATCTACTACTACACGGTGGTGCGTGATTCGCCTACGGAGAAACAGTATATAGGAATCGGTTTTAGTTACAGTGCGACCGGACAGATTCATGGAAAAACTTGAAGAGGAGGAAGACATGAGACATACTGCTGTCGAAGATGCGGATCGATCTAGGGCTTGATGCTGTCCCTCGTGCCGCATCCATAATAATGATATGCGATCTACGATGGCAATGAATTCGTTTCCTATCTCATAATGTATGATCTTGAGTGCGACATTCCGCGAAATCTAACCAGACTAGGAAGTCGTAATGAAGCAGCGGAGCTCACTCGTCCATCGCTGAGAACTCGCGCGCCAGTGGCGTACCATTGTTACACTGAATTCGATTTTTCTAATAACTATGGTCTTTCTTCGTATTTTCCTGCGCGTCTATGAATGCGGAGGAATCTATTGATGGTTCGCTCATATTCTGAATTTCAAAACAGTTCTCCACGCACGCGCTCACGCACGCATGCACAAGGCGAAGTGACATTTGTTGTAGTATATGCTCTGCTCGCTCCGCAATTCCATTGGATAAAGCACGTCTGAATGAATACTGGGATTTTCCCTCGTATCAGGCCGCCAGTAGGTGGAAGACCGAGGAGCCCCATCATGTCATGGTGTGATTCCACTGTGGCTGAGATGCAAGCACCAGATCCCATCAATAGATCGCCTCATGGGACAGGCTTGTTGGATAGAAGCGGCTTTTGAAGGTTATGCAATGTTCCTCGTCCGATAGCAACAGTCGAACTCGGGGAGCATGTTAATTGTGCGATTCTGCACCTCCTACTTTTACTGTGTACCCCTCGCGCCCCCAGCATTTTTTATCGTCTGACAGCTAAAAATGTCCGTACGATTCGTCATCCTCATGGTTCGTGCTGCCGAATTGGAGAGAACGATCCAGTGGTATGAAACTTATCTTGGTATGGAAACGATGAAACGAACACCCACTTCGGCTACCGTGGGTTATCCCTCGAAGCCGGACTCTGCCGGCATCGAGTTCCAGGTCCATGATAATCCTGCTGCAACCTACTCTGCTTCCGATCACGACCTGTACTGGAAGATCTCATTGTATTTGCCGCACGTCAAGCTTGCTTGCCGGAGACTTCTCAGTATGGGAGTTCCTGTCTCGACCCCCTTTCAGTTCAAGGACATAGGTTATCTTGCTCACATGGAAGATCCTACGGGCTACAATATCGAGCTTATACAGCATCAGTTCGAACGCAATTTCAGTGAAGAGTACGCTGCTTCGTTGAAAGACGACAGGAGTCCGCTCGGACAGCAGACTGGCATAGGCCTATTAACGCTCCGAGCGACGAACGCCGAGCGGAGCAAAGATTTCTACACGAAGGTCTTGGGAATGAGCCTCCTCTCCTCCCAATACGTCAGCGATGCATTTGACCTGCATTTCTTCGCCGACACCATCGAGAAGCCTCCCAACGCCGATCCGTGGTCGGTTGATAATCGTGAGTGGCTGTGGTCTCGTAGCTTTACATCTGTAGAGCTGCAAGTGAAGCATGGCATAGATCGTTTCAAAGAGATCCCTAACGACCAACTTGGGTATCGTGGATTCGGCGTGAGGGTGAAGGCGCATATCTTCGACCGATTGAAGAAGGAGTGTGGTGCCGGCATGGACTTGAGATATGGCGAGGAAGTGGTCCACATAACTGACCCTGATGGTCACTCAATCATTGTTTTCGGTCCCGTCCGTTGAGTCAAAAGCCAATAGCCGGTGACCTTCAATCTCATACAACTTGGTCTCATCCATTATTCGTATTACTCCTCCCCCTGTCTCTCCTTTGACTTTTTTATCTCATTTTAACCCATGGTAAGACTATCTTGATTTGAGTTTCGCGATCATAGAATGGGCCGGGAATCGGGGAAGGAATGGTAACAAATTGTGAGAACCAATCCCGCTGTTGATAAGACCGATTCCGCTCGAGGGGCAGATATGCCATTTCGTGACTCCAACGTAGATGGAAGGAAGTCTGACGTGTTCTCAATGGCAGCTTGCCGCTGAGAATATACACCGGTTTCGAGTTGGCATATCTGCCCCGCGACAGACGTAATTGCTTCTCCACAACGTGTCGAAAATTGATCTACTTCGCCCGTACTGACGAACTTGATCCTCTAAGGTCATTTGTGGGCACAGTAAGTCATATCTTGGAGGTAGTGGCATAGCGGCCCCACTCGTCAGGACTGAGCATAGTGAAAGCGAACTGGGCCTTTGAAGACAGAAATCGCCTAGCCCGAACTACAGTTGGATTTTTGAATCCGTAAATCTGAAATCGAACTCGAATATCATAACTGTTGTCTTGAATCTGATGGAAACGCTGTTTCCTTCGAAGGGTATGGCACAGTATCAGGAAGCAGTCGACCGATAGCACTATAGAAGGCTCCGTCTGCTACCACCACTCCAGGGCGTTTCGTCGTACTTCATTGTATTAACTCATGAAATTCGTCTCAGCAGAGTTCGTTCCTATAGTCAGTTCGGGAGTTTGGTACCCATGCATCATCTGGTGCTTGTCGTTGCTGTAATCTGCTCACAAGGTCGTGCCTGGGAGGCTCCAATAGTTAACCTCTCTTGCTTTGGCGATCAACCAGGTGATGGATGCGAGGCCGCTGCGACAAAGCTCTTACATGCTGCATCCGAATCTGGCGGCGGTGCGTTTGTCCTTCACGGCCATGGTATCAATGACAACTTCATAGACAATGTGCTTTCGTGTTCACGACGATTATTCACCGAAGTTGGTATGGAAGAGAAGCAACGTTTGTCTATTACCGGTCACGGTTTGACTCGCGGCTACATACCTCTTGGTGGGGAGAGCGGTTCTGATCGGGAGGAGATCAAGGAAGCCTTCTCGTACGGATTCGAATGGCCTGAAGGCTACACATCTTTTACCAACAAATTCCAAGGACCCAATGTTTGGCCGGCAGAGGCTTCGCCCGAAGATAAACGCGTCTTGAACGAGTGGTTCAGTCATGCTACACGCCTCGGCCTCTCACTTGCGGAAGCCTTCTCAAGCGTGCTAGGTGAGGTTATGCTCTTTGTGCATGCTCCGACCATTCTTTGTGTGTAGGCCAGAACGCACTCAGAGACAATTGTGGACCAGATGGTGCGTCAATCAGTTTACAGAGGATTTTCCGATATTTTGCTGTCGATGGAGATGATCGCTCAGGTGACCTCCCTGTCGAGTACTATGTCATCTCCCTATAACAGGCGAGAAGACCATTGGAAGTTCCCCTCATACTGATTGGGGGTTCATTACGATTGTGCTGCAGCAAGAAGGAGTTGATGGGCTCGAGGCAGGTTGATAACAGATGACAGACATTTCTAGTATTTTGCTCAAGGTGCAAGATCCCAAGACGGGGGAGTATCACCCGCTACCCAATGATCGACAATCCCGCATAGTTGTGAATGTTGGAGACTTTGCCTCGATCATGAGTGGTGGGAAACTATACTCACCGGTTCATCGAGTAGACTTGTCTTATATTGCTTGCTTATTATCTACTGCTCCAGGTGATGTCCCCGAAGGGAGCTCCGGAGAGAATATCTCTGGTGCATTTCTACTATCCCAACTATAACACTACCCTCGAGGGGCTCCTTGAAACCCACGCTGCCAAAAGGTATCAACAGACCCTCCCAGGGCGTCATGATTATTGTTCATGCAGGACCAGCCTCATGGCGGATCAGAAAGAGGGAGGCGCATCACGATGGATAGCCGAGGAGGACAGCTACATGATGTCCTTCGGAGACTTCATTGCAGCCAAATGGTCGCAAGTGTACCGTCCAATGTCTCAATCTGATGAAGAGCTTTGACGTTATTTGCATCCCTTTCGTGTTATCTATCTTAGTAATTTCGGAAATAAGTTTCTGTTGCTGAGACAAATCGAGTTGCGCATATGGAAGTGCCAGCCGTAACTTTGTAAAAACGAAGTATTCGTTGAGCTAGCATATTGTCAACAATCCCTCAGGGGCAACCTCGATGTTGTCGTTCACTGTCCAGCGCTTCTGGTGTCGATATCGCGATTCAGAATCAGGGATAGCTGCCGAGGATCCTAACTCCGGATATTGATTTTGTATTATTTTGCTCGGAAATCACGAATATCCCGAACTCGATTCAGCAATCTCGAATCAGGATGTGAGTTGAATCACGAATCACTCGAATTCGCAAATAAAAAAAGGGCAAAACACACAGCCACTGTTCAACACGGAGCAAAGTCAATTTGAAATCTTAGTAGATCATGGTAAAGCCAAATTCACCCACCCAATGGAGTTACTGGGCTGGCGTCACTCGAGCTAGTTTCCCCTGAGTGAATACACTCATTCAAGATGGTGACATCAGTGACGTCACCAGACGATTTCACTCCTATTCCACCGTGAGGCGAGGCTGCTGCTGTATGGGAGCGCATTCGTCGTAGGTCAACTAAGTCGCCCAGGAGAGTCTGTGCCAACTCTGTTGATTCTCGAAGGATCCCTACGGACAGAGTACAGGATGCATGGTCAGAGCTCCTACCTCTATCGATTGACGCCGATCCGGCGCTTCCTGATGAAGTGCTCGATTGCCGCTGCAAGGGGGCCGTGCTAGGATAGATCGTTCCGCTGCTACTGCTCTTGGGTGTAGACGAGGCCGTAGGTTGGAGGGCAGCACGGTGAACTCTGAGAAGTGTCGGGAGAGTGGTATCAACAACAGCTTGAAAACCACCTCCGTCGACACGCGTCAATCTCAGTCAATAACTCCGCAAAGCCGATTCCCGAGGAACTGAGAGTAACCGGCGTGCTTTCGGCCCAGCGTGATGACGAAGTAACCTGTCTATATTGGCCAGAGCATGGCATTCCATTAGGCGGTCTTCGATGTTCCTAAGACCTACAGATGCCGCCTCACAGACGATCTGTCTTTGAGAGTCCATCTCGTTACGGAGCTGGAAGAAGCATGTCCGAATATTATCACAGTCGCTTACTTCCAAGACTTGTTTCCGCAACCTCATGTTCGCCGTGTGATAGGCTCTGACCTCACCATTGTGCCTCAGAGCTTCAGTGATGCTCTGAGTCGTGCCTGTGGAATCGCGATTGTGATGTACTACACCACAGACGATTCAGACACGTACTGTGAGTTTTAATGAGCTTCCGCTGCCTAGCCAATTCAACTGCTAATTTGCTCACTTCCTCCTGTAAAGCAGCACGGTCACGCTCCAAAGATTCAACCTGAAACTCCATACCGTAATAGCGTCTCAGAAGAGGACACAATTTAGTAGATCATGATACACAGGGGGCCAAACAGTAGAGTTTGAGAGGAGTTTTCCGGGAAAAATTCTAAAAACACGCCAGTATGTCCATTCAACTTTCACACCTCCACGAGTAAACTGTCTCGTCGCTGCTCTCCGATTGGATCGGCCACTCCATCTGTCTGTGCTTCTAAGGGAAAGCCAACGAGCAGCTGAGTTTCGAAAAGTCCATATCACGGATAAGCTCACCTGTGGATGCCACAGTAGGACGCGAGTCTGTCATAACACTATGGCTAACCATAACTGGCTCCTCAGTAGCCGTTGCTGCATTGCTCAGGACCGGCCTGCATTGAATACCTGTCACAGCGCGAGCCAGGCTCCGAGTGAGTTTTCCCAGCGACACACTTTCATCGCTCATCTCTGGAGGTGGCGTCTCTACACTCGAATCGGAGGACTCCAGCGTGCTCCGATTTGATATTTCGTCAGCAAGCCTGTTCTGGACGAGCTCAACCTAGAACATATCCGGGAACATATCAGGCGTAGAGCCCCTTGGTCTTGCCTGAGCTCTGAGAGACCTCATTTCTCGCGTGAGGAAGTCCACTCTCGATTCCGTCAACTCGTCGTTGTCGCACACCGACGCTGGGAGTAAACCTGTCGCATAGTGGGGAAAGGGACGAAGAGAAATTAGGCGTACTGGGATGTGGTCCGTGTGTATCGCTGACGGGCTGCTCTGAAGAGACCGAGGGTTCCTGGGTGATCGCATCGGCGCTGCTTTGAATTGATGCTGTCTTGGATGCGTTTTTGACTGCTGTGGACGTCGGAGCTTTCTCTACTGATGCTTCTACAACCACGGTGTCACCGAACTCAATCTATGGCAAGGTTCAGGTCGCACTCCCAGGCTGTGGGCCTACGAGGTTTGACGGTGAACAGTCTTCTCGCTCTGACTCAAGGCGAACTAGGTCTTCTAGTGTTCTAGTGGGAGCTGATGAAGTCGATGATTGCCGAGGCGGACTCATCGGTGGGATTGTATTTCCTTCATCGCTGCTCAGTGGAGGTCGCGAGAGGAGGCTTGCTGCGCCGTCTGAGATAACAACACGAGGCATTGGACGTATCCAGAGTGTACAGTGTCCAGACCGGTCTACAAAGAATAGGGAGTTACAGTTGATGAAGGACTCACAGTGCTCCATGGAAGCTCCTTGGGCTTGATGAAATGTTGACGATGCATCGTAGGGAGGGTCCTCCTGAATACGGAGGAGTTTACCATGCGATCCACCTCGACGACATACATTGATGTGCCACTTAACGCTCTCATCCTCCGTGACGAAGCTGCTTCGACTTGAGAGAAGATCGTCGCCGAGACCCGACGGAGCTCCCAAGGAGGAAACTAGAGTTCCTATATATGGTCGTAAGGACGATTGATTCAGCTCACTGGTGTTGTTGTGATGCCTCTCGCCGATCCTATGGTGACTGCCCAACAACAGAGGTGGACGACGAAGGGGGGCGTAACGAGGAGCGCAGCCCACGGAGGAAGGCAGAGACTCGACGGTGCGGGTGATCTCAGCATCTGGGCAGTGAGGAAGTTGAGGGGAGAGAGCCCAACGCTATGCAATGCCGGAATAGGCTGACCAGCTCGAAGAAGCTACCAGAAGTGGCCTCCCAAGCGCCCTTCTGAGATGAAGATCTACTAGAGCTGCGTAACCTTGCGTAGCGATGCGCTGCTTTGCCGGATTCTGAACGGCGATGGAACTCAATGTCTAGATACATACCGGTTCGGTACCATCGTGCTGAGGAGCGGCTACTTTAGAAGGGCACTGGGCGGGCCGTCTATGCAACTGATGGGCACGATAGATAGAGGCTACGCCGGATGAACCTCACTGCAGTGTAGTCGATGTTGTGACAGTGATGGGCCATCTCCGTAGAGATGAACATCGAAGAGGACGATAGGTCCATTCCACTCGAGTACTATGTGATGCTAGTAGAGATTAACAACGCAAAACCAAAGCATCGAGACGATCATCAAGGGCCATGCTCGCCTGCATCACTTCTGGGGCTTCCAGAGTGACAACCTCACTTTCAGCAAATCGTTATGCAGCATCACATAGGGGCTGACCATTCGGCTCAATCCTCCTACAAGTTGACGAGTGGTAACCCCAGTGTTGGAATATATGTGTTCGCATTCCTCACTAATTATAGGAGTTTATATATGAGCTAGGGTAAAAATGTACAGAAACCAACCAGGATTTCCCAACAAGAATTTCCGTATTGTCACCAACACATGTAGTTGACCATGTGCATATTCCCCCCCATATTGGATACCCCTACAGCCGAGACAATGCCCCTGTGAGAAAAATAAAAAACACAATGAAGAGCATGAATGTACGTTCTGCTGTGTACTAATGCAACTATTATAGGCGCAAGCCTACTGTATATAAATTTTCCTGCTGCGCGGTCTGGTCGGCCCTATACTTGACCTCATAAAATCCTTTGCTGCACTAGGTGTAGCGAGCGAGAGAGAGAGAACTGACCAACAGCTTTGTGACATAATGAAATCCCGTGGGAGTCCTCCATGAAGGGAGCCTCAATATGGTGCTGTTGTAACTCTAAGACTATAAGGAATAGAGCAGGTCGGTCGAAATAGAGGAAGTCCACCTGACGTGCGAGAGATAGTGTTCGTGCGCTTGTCAAGGCCCGTGACGATGTATTGGGATATGCAGTCGACAGTGAAAGCTCTCTAGTGAGAAAAGAACTAACTCGAAAATCCGGGCTTGCAGTTCTGATTGACACCAGTAGAAAATCAGTGTAAAAGTTGGAAACTTTTACTCTCGTACAATCAACTGAATATTACTCCCGATCACGTTGAACTGCCACTGAACCATCCAACACAAGAACTGCTTTGTTATGTCAACAATGCTTACTCAATGGACGAGCACTTACATGCTGAACATTCAGGCCTTTATGTATTCGCGTAGACCAAGGCGTGAGGATTCCACCGAGCCGCCTCGCCACCCTTCCTGGTTTGCCTCATTTCTGGTGCCAGCACTAGCAGGAATGCACTGATGATGGTGAAGCCGTAACCAACACAACCAATGATCTTTCCCCAGGTAGCCTGGTTTAGGAAGCAACTGCCGAGTAAGATGCTGAGTATACCGCCCACAGCAAAGCCGATGATGCCGATACTGCACCGAGCGACGAGGATGCGAGACAGGCCTCTTCTGCGCTCAACGCGGAGGACAAAGAGAACAATGGTAACGATTAGCATAATGAGCTGGCAGCTGTTCATGAAGCTCTGGAAGCCTGCAGCAGGGCACTCTAGGTGGTCTGTGGGCTGATCTCGTTGGTAACGATCGACCAATTCCAAGCCGACTTGCACTCCATAAACGGCGATGACGATACCAGAGAGCACCTCGCCACACACACCGATGGCTACTCCGACCTTGAAATTGGCTGAGTAGTCCGATAGCGACTTCATTGGTTTTCAAAGAGGCTTGACGATAGAGGATAACTGACAGTAAGATGAGGTTCATGAAATGCGCTCAGAACGGTATCGACAGAATACTCGTTGGGGAGAATCGAACTGCCAAGCCGTGGGTTCAAGAAGAGTTTTATGTGGTTTACTGGTATATATTCTTTGTTAATTGACATCCCAACATGATGGGAGTTGTAAGAATTAAGGTAGTGAAGACGAGATAGGCCAGAAGGTCTCGGACAGCAACTCAAACTGTTACACAATCACAGTCAGAATGGCTCTGAGCTCATCGCTGCCTTAGTCAATTTCAGAGTTGAATATTATGGCTCTCGGCACTAGAGAAGGGAAGACGTAGCCGGATGGCAGTTACGAGGGAATGCTCGTGTGGCTGTATTTGACATTTGAACCACCTGGATGATGCTGAAGAAGGCCGGAATAATAGTGGCGACACGAACGACGATTGGAGATGTCCCGACGACCTTCATCTTTTTGGAATGCTGTTTATCCATCACTCTCCGTACCAACACACTGTGTCTTTTATCAGACCGACCTTCAACTTCACGGCCATGATCGTCGACAAGATGTCCATCTTGAACGGCATCTTGCTCTCTTACATTCACCCAATATAGATTTCCCACCAACCGCAAGATATGGGTGATTACGGGGCAGATTCAGACTTATCAACTCAAACAGTTAGATGAGAAACTAAGTTAATGAGCTAATTGAACCTATCAGGTAGGTTCATCCTGCCCGATGTGCTCGAGGAATTCTCCCTGAAGCCAATTACTTCACATGCGTGCTCGTTTACGATGTTCAAAGTCTGAATAGCGAAAGTAATAGTGTTAGCATCGAACAATCCAACCAGGATGTCGCACGAGTTTATTCAAAAAGAGTACACCTTACCTGGGATTCTCTCTGAGACTTCTCTACCGTGATCCGTCCATACCTTCTCGGCTCTGATATCCGCGTTGTGCCTCTACAGCGGGTTGGAATCCTCTAACCGGAACAACCCGCCAGAACACTACTCTACGTTTTCTGATCGCCTAGGAAAGGTGATATCTGGAGTATCACAGAGGGATATGCTGATCATAGGTGGGGACTTCAATTGCACTGGATACAGTTATGAACTACTACAGAAAATAGTCGAGATGAATGATATATGCATCGGGCAGTGGGATAAGTTTAAGCATCTGGCAAACAGACCAACATAGAAACATCCAAACAAACAACTTGGCGGCAACGTATTAGAGCTCATCTTGATAAGACGACGTTACATAAACATGCTGGAGGCAATGGGAGTAACAGATCCGGATCCAATCGAGACTGATCACAAGCTAGTATGGGGCCGCATGGGATTGCACTTAAACAACGCTACAAGTCGACGCAAAGAAATCCTCGACAGGGAAAGAGTACAGAAGCTGATCACGGACCCAAGATGCCAAAAAGTATTCGACGTAAAGCTGAGCGACTCTTATGCGAATAGTAGGACGCAGAACGACCCAAATGAGGCTTGGAATGAGCTACAAGAGCAGATAAAAGGAGCCCTAGAAGCCGCAAGACAAATAGACGAAGAAGGCGGAGGTGCACCCCAGCGAAAGACGAGAAAGCAGAAAAGAGCCAGTAAAACACGACAAATAGAGAGGATGACAGAACTCCGTCCGAACGACGAGAAGGCAATATGGAATGTGCTCCAAGAAACGCTGAAAGTGAGGAAGGCGGGACCATTAAGTACCAAATTCCCAGCAGAGCTGTATAAAAGTGGGAAAGCAATAGCAAAATGGGTGCATAAGGTATGCTCGATATGCTTCGAAACGGAACGCCTACCAGACGATTGGAACATCTCGAAGGTTACTCCCATTTACAAAAGCGGATCCAGAAAGGACTGCAAGAACTATCGTACAGTATTGTCCCAGAGCGCCATCACCAAGATATTCAGCTTGATCTTTATGGCCAGAATATATTTACAGGTGGACAGTTCGGTCGACGCATCACAGACGGCCTTTAGGGCCGGAAGGTCTGGCCTGGAGATAGTACATGCAATACAACTCTTAATAGATAAGTGCAAGCTATATGATCTACCGCTCACACTAACGAGCATAGACTTCCGCAAGGCATTTGATCGAATATCTAGGTCGCATGTATATGAATCATTAAGGATGGCTGGTGTACATCCGAAATACGTACGGATCATCCGTAACTGTTATGAGTCAGCTAAAGCAAGCATCCGGATAAGCTCAAAGGAACGAATTATTCCCCTCGACCGTGGCTTAAGACAAGGCGACTGTTGGAGCCCGATACTCTTCATATGCAGCCTAGATCGAGTGCTCAGCGAAAGACTGAGGAACTCTCCGCATGGCTTCCGCTTATTGGACACTAACAAGCAACCCAGACGCTTAACTCGCTCACATATTGGCAGACAAAAGATGGGTACAATGCTCAATGAGCTGTCCTTTGCAGACGATGTGACCCTTCCATCAAGCACAGCAATGGGGAATACGAAACACATTAGTTACGTGCGAGAAGACGGAGAAGCCGCGAATCTTGTCATAGCCCCCGAGAAGTGTAAACGATTGACAATAAATGAACACTTGGAACAACCCGATATTGGAGGATCGCCTATCGCAGCCGTTAATGAGATGAAGATTCTTGGGGATATATTCTCAGATTCACACAACAACAAAAAACAGATTACGGAGCGCATAAAAGCAGCAGGACAAAGAATGGCAAGATTACGGGCAGTGTGGAAATCCCACGATATCTCCTTGAGAGCTAAATTCACTGTGTTGAAGGTTTCGGTCTTCTCAGTGCTGCTATTCACCAGTGAGTGCCTTGCATTGACGACAAAAGAATGCGAAAGGTATTGCACGTTTTATAACAATTGTATTCGAAGGGTTCTCGGAATATCGTTCATGTCGCACATTACTAACGAGGAAATTTGGAGTAGATCAGGGTGCCCCGACTGTTCCGTAGTCCTCAGAATGCGTCGCCTGCGTTGGTACGGCCATGTCCTTCGATCTAACCCTGCGTCTCCAGTGAACAGATTACTATCGTGGGATCCCACGGCGCATCTCGGAGCAGTGAGAAGATCGAGCACGGCAAAGCTATGGAGTGACCTTATCGATGAGGATATGAGAGCGGTCGGTCTTACAAAATCCGATGCTAAGGAACGAAGAAAATGGGAGAATCGGATAGCCCAACTTGGCCGAGTTCGACGGCGCAGAACATTGCTATGCTCCAGCCGGAGATAGGATAGATGCGAAAGGTGGATTGCGAAACGAGAGCTGATAAGATGAGACGACGATTAAAAAAAACTGCGGAGATGGACTGGTCACCCTCGCCGACTATCGAAGACCTCAAAAGCCGCTGATGTGTGCTAAGCATTGGCTGGCCGCCTAGCCGAAATCGGCTTCGAGCGAGAGAGAGAGAGAGAGAGAGACTATGTGATGCTAGTAGAGATTGACAACGCAAAACCAAAGCATCGAGACAATCATCAAGGGCCATGCTCGCCTGCATCACTTCTGGGGCTTCCAGAGGAGACTCTCACTTTCAACAAATCGTTATGCAGCATCACATAGGGCTGACCATTCAGCTCAATCCTCCTACAAGTTGACGAGTGGTAACCCCAGTGTTGGAATATATGTTTTCGTTTTCCTCACTGATTATAGGAGTTCATATACGAACTAGAGTAGAAATGTACAGAAACCAACCAAGAGTTCCCAAAATTTCCTTAGAATTTCCATATCGTCACCAACACATGTAGTTGACCATGTGCATATGTCCCCCCACACTGGATGCCCCTACAGCCGAGACAATGCCCCTGTAACACAATGGAGAGCACGAATGTACGTTCTGCTGTGTATTAATGCCACTATTACCGGCGCAAGCCTACTGTATATTATTTTCCCTGCTGCGCGGTCTGGTCAGCCCTATACTTGACCACATAAACTCCGTTGCTGCACTAGGTGTAGCGAGAGATAGAGAATACAATACAGATTTCCCACCAACCGCAAGATATGGGGGACACTGCATCAAATCTAAGCGAGATGCATAAAAACCGAAGAATATCAGCGCGCGCCATTAATGGGAAGTGAAGGTTGATATCCACGTGATGACCGTAACGCAAGTGAGAATCTAAACTGCAAATTCCAAAAAAAACAAGAACAGAACAAGAAGCAGGTGAAAGCGGAGAAAGGGAAACCCGAAACCCGACGGGAAACCAGAACCCCGAACTGTTGTCCAAGGCCAGGCTGCAATCCAAGGCTAAGTCGAAATGCAGGTGGGAGCGCGCGCTAAACTTCTTTACGTAGAAAAGAGGCCCATTCTTTAGAAATGAGGATTTCCTCGCGAGTGTTTTGCTCCCATGAACGTACAGCAGGCTGGGTTGACGCCGTAGAAGATACTGAGAGCTGAGATGCAGCATGAATATGTGGGCGCTGCAGGGAAAACACCGGTTGCTGAGATGTACCCCCCCCCCCCCCCCCCTCAGTACTGACATTCTCAGGGGCGAAAGGCGGAGCCATCTTGTGCATAGAAGCTATCAAAATATGGGGACATTGCCCGAGTGAAGCGTATCCCCGGCAGCTACACGATAGAGTATGACCAGGCAGACCCACCCCAACAACCATGTGCACTCGGAGGAACTTCTCCCCGAGGCGACGGGACGAGTAGTAGCAGTAGCAGTGATAGTAGCGCCATGTCTTCTCCTCCCATCCCTCGAAGTGGTGATGGGACAAGTAGTAGTACCAGTAGCAGTAGTAGCGCCATGTCTATTCCTCCATCCCTCGAAGTGGTGATGGGACAAGTAGTAGTAGGAGTAGCAGTAGTAGCAGTAGTAGTAGCGCCATGTCTACTCCTCCCATCCCTCGAAGTGGTGATGCGACAAGTAGTAGTAGCAGTAGTAGTAGCGCCATGTCTACTCGTCCCATCCCTCGAAGTGGTGATGCGACAAGTAGTAGTAGCGCCATGTCTACTCCTCCCATCCCCCGAAGTGCATCTTCTACCATCATCAAAGCCATGCATCTCATATCGTAACTACACTTTAATACATCATCTCCCCATAGTCGATGTAATCCTCATAACAACCATACATTACCCCACATCAGGGGCTGTAAACCTTTTTGCCATGGTGATGGGACACATATAATAGATGATGGATCTCATCCGCAGAAGAGTATTATAAGCCCCTCATAATGTGTTGTTATCTATCTATAAGCATCCTTTTCACGTGTTGCTACCTGTCCACATCTCAAGAATGGACATATAGTGACCAAGGGTCATGGCCTGGGTACTGTACAACGGGTCAGAGACAGAGTCCCATCAATATTCAGATCCCCAATGCTGGGGTACCTCCATTTTCCATCAATTATGGTATTGCCCGTGGTGTTACTGTTCATGCTGAGATTGACATGGCCTTGGAAGTCCCCGATGCAAACAACTTCACTGTAAGAGGTGTTTATGGTTTGGGGGAGGATATCTTCCGTCTCACCTATATGGATATGCATTGGGGTACGGACAGCTCTCGAGGGAGTGAACATCAGTTCAATGGTACCCCCTACGCCTTCGAATATCATTTCGCCCATTACAACAGCAAATATCGTGACTTCGCTGAAGCCTTAAATCACCCAGATGGGGTTGTTGCTATAGGCGTTCTTTATACGGTTGGTGATCCAGCGCCTGGGCTTAGTGAGGCTTTAGACTCGATGAACGCTAGTAATATGGGAGCGCTAGACTCCTTCAATGTGGAGGCCATGACCCCTCAAGATTTATCAACCAACTTCTATCTTTACAATGGGTCTGGTAGTACTCCTGATTGTGAGGAAGTTATGGTATGGATTGTTGCTAAGACGATCCAGACAATCAGCGAGGATCAACTGAATAGGCTGAGGACACTAAGGCATAATGGAGTCTCCATTGGCCCTAACTATCGTCAAACCCAAGCATTGAATGGGAGGAGGATTCTTGACTCCACCCTTACAGACAACAATTCTGTCCCTAAACCTTTCAGAGCATCTTGGTTCATACTTATTCTTATCATCATCGTTCCATCGTTGATTATAGGGAAGTGATATAGCCTTAGAATTAGGACTATATAGACACTTCCCTTCGTATCTCATTCTACTCCTTCTTGGTCGTCTCCATTATTATAATGTCTGTAACCCTGCCGTCCGATTATTTGTGTTCAAGTGCATTAGAGCACCTAGAAGCATCATTATCTTGAACGTTGGAGAGCATAACACAATGCAGTTGTAGTTGGATCAAAAGAGTATATATTATCTTGCTTTTTTGTTCTCCAGTACCAAGGCGGTTTCATGCTTGGCGTGCGCTACTGAAGATATTAATTATGAGGAGTGTGAGCACATCATAGACAGCATTAAGTTGTTATAGGAATGATCTCTATAAACCATACCGACACATTTACTAGTTAGCCTGTGGCACTGGTAGATGTGTATCGTAATCACCAATGGCGCTCGCCACAGTACTCTCACTTCGTCTTCTGTTAATGAAACGACTCTGCATGAAACGGCTGGCCCCCGCTGAGCCCAGATGTGTAGGATTGAGGATGATTAAGATTATCTCTCTCTACTTCGCCACTTACCTGGTTGTGTTATCCGACATGACGACCCCTTCTACGACTGGGCATGGGAAACAACAAGCCTAACTGCCTCCTCTGCCATTAACATGATGAGTGCCTTGTGGGCAATACACCCTCCCTCATTCCAACCAACACAGAGCTGAATACGCTCTGAAGTTATGCCAATGCTGTACGACAACGACAGTACTACTGTCACAGTAGTAGCGGCAGCTCACGTATTTCATTTGTCCATTCTGGAATCCTTGCTGGAATCGATTTTAAGAATCGTGTCTACTGAGCGCGAGTCTGAATTGATTCTGGAAGCGCTTCCGAGATCGATTTTCAACTTTCAAAATCGTGTTTATTGAACACGACTTCGATTTTGAGAATCGATTCCAACATCGCACACAGCCGTGTGTGAGGCTTCTCGTTGTCTGCTTCTCTCGAATGCAGCAGCGGCTAATGGCTAACTGCGGCAACGCGTACAATGGTGGGATAAAAGGCCGCCTTTTCCACGGCAGAGGTACATATTTTCTTTACTAATTGTTATATATTTTTTTTCGTATATGTATACATACGTAGTAGAGTTGAGTTTATTATATCACAATATCTGAGCGAAGCTGGGGGGAATTACTCTGAAGGAGGACTTCATCAATGTTGTGAAGTCGAACTTTTCGCATCTCGGGGAAATATTATCTTCTTTCTGGGCTATAGTATATTGATTCAACTTTCTGAACAATTTCAGAATAGCAGTTTTTTCACGGATATTATCTGTGGAACTACGTTGGCGCGCGAGGGTGTGCTTCCTAACGCCCCTGTAGTTTTGGTGGTCAGTCTGGAGTGATTGACGAGTACAGGAAAATAGATCATTTTCGAATTTCGAACTGCCACTCAAATTAGTCTTGGAGAAATAAGGAGGGGGTTATTCTAGGGCTATCTCGAGGACTCTAATCTGCTGATCCATCGGTCGCGATATGCCGACGGAGAGGTATAGCAAGTAGATGAGAAAATAGTCTGTAGTTTGGTTACAGCTCATGGTTACCACGAGCACCAGAAACGGTGACGATCTTATGGACGGTATATCACCTAGGTTCATCGAATCAATTCTGGCATCGTATTTGAATATGGAAATAAATTTTTTTGGAGGATTTTATTGATGCGAACGCTATGATGCTACTCAGAGTATTGCTCGGGTGACGAAGTAGTATAAATCTGAATAATTTTCTCTTCGTTCTCTTGCCATGTCATCACCACCTACATCACCGGAGTTGCCCAAGTACGCGGAGAGGGTCGCGGGTTCACGGCCACAGGGAATGGAAGCTAAACTGGCAGAAGCACTTGATAACGAGTGGAAGAGGACTGAGGAGTGTCGTGAGAAGGAAAGGGAGATTTGTGAGCTGCGGAAAAGGTAATAAGGACGGTGGTTGTTGTAGATGTTATTGAAGACTTTGTCGCATTCCAACTCTGAGGAAATTTGAATCGTCGGATAGTAGTAATACGGTGGTAGATAATGAGGGGGTTGTTCTTATGAACGACTATGTGGTATTTGATCTTGTCACGCAGGCCTGGAGGAATTTCAACTTGTCTTGTGGTTTTGGGGGGATTTTGAATTGCCGAGGAGTAGTCGTAATACCATCTTTTTGTTGTTAAAACGATCGAATTTGGAAAATGAATTTTTGTCCATACATGTGAATTAATGAGGATATGGCGACTGCGCGTGAGGCCGCTGAAGGTGAGCGTGTGTGATAGAGCAGTTTTGATGAGATGTTTGTGAGTTGAATAGAGTTTCACCCTAGTGATATGAAAAACATATTTCACGACTACTGCATATCACCGCGAATATCGCGTTTTACACCAAGTTTTTCGCCAATTCACGAAAAACGGGTTGTGAAACTCCAGTGAATGAGCGAATATGGCGAAAAAGTTTACTTCATGGGGCGCCTCTTAGGAAGGCCTTAGCTTTGACACCCAGCGTTAGTTTATGATCTGCGATGTGGTTATTCAGTTTTACTTGGAATTGTAGGTTGAGAGAGTTCGAAAGAGATATAGAGCGGGGGCGCTTATTGGGCAGTGGGGAAAATGAGGGGGATGATGTAAAGCTGATGAAAGAGATGAGGAGTCTTGAGGAACAGGTAAGGGCGGCAGGGTGGCTCCTCGTGGTTGATCGGGGAAGGTTAGATCTGAGCTAATGGAGATTGATATGCTAATTTGTGGATTTCATAGCATAAAGTTCGTTTCTGAAATGATCAGTGGAGTTTCACCCTAGTGATATGAAAAACACTAGTGAAAAACATGTTTCACGACTATTGCATATCACCGCGAATATCGCGTTTTTCACCGAGTTTTACGCCACTTCACGTAAAACGGGTGGAACTCTAATGATCTCATTAAGACTTCAAAAACAGGTGGGAGGAAAAAATTGGATTTTTTTTCGCGAAAAAAATGGGGAAATGATTGGAAATTTTGGTAAAAGAGTGAATTTGTCTATAACATCATTGATCAATTTTGGTAGGTGGACGAGTGGAAGGATAAGGAGGTGGAGGCGTTGACGAGAGTGAGGGAGTTGGAGGGTGAGAGGGACCGAGCTCTTGAGGAGGCGCGATGCCTTGAGGAGAAGCTGCAACAAGAGCGGCAGAAAAGGCTGGCTCTCGAAAGGGCTGAGGAGGAGTTGAGAACGCAGGTATACATATATTAAATTTTTAGACTATATAAATTTGGAGCACTGTAGTGTTCGTAAGTATGTTTGCTCTACTCAGCTGAGGTTAGGAGTAGGATTTTTATATTGTCACCAACACGTGTAGTCGAGTATATGCATTTTTTCTCACGTTGCGCGGGTGAGAATGAGAAGCTGAGAGTTTCAAGATTTTATATATCAGTGATGGATCTTGTCGTGTGTGTATTAATGGAGTTTCACCTGTTTTACGTGAAGTGGCGTAAAACTCGGTGGAAAACGCGATGTTCAGTAGTCGTGAAATATGTTTTTCACTAGTGTTTTTCATATCACTAGGGTGAAACTCCAATGAATCAAATCCGTTAGGAATAAAAGAGAACACAGGATTGGGTGTATTCTGTAATTTTACTCCAACTGAAATTCTCAAGAGGAGCACATTTCAACGACGACTAGTCTGCAGTTTGTGTGCTATGTCTACGTTGAGAATATCAGTGGACGTAAAACAACAAGGATAGGAGAGAAAATTTAAATTGAAATTTAAATTCGTTTCTAAGCACGAGAATTGACTCGTGGTAGTTTACGGTCTCTTATATACGCTGTCGAAAATTGATAGTACGCGCAGCATAGGGAGCGAAAATACGGGTGGAGAGGAAACTTTTTCTACAGAATGATTTTGAAGCTAAAACTATGAATTTAAGGCGCTCTTATAAGGTTATATTGCATGGAACCTGTCTGCAATTGATTTTATGGAGTTTCACCCTAGTGATATGAAAAACACTAGTGAGAGATATATTTCACGACTACTGCATATCACCGAGAATATCGCGTTTTTCACAGAGTATTACACCACTTCACGTAAAACGGGTGAAACTCCACTGTATGTAATCTCACCTATTTTTCCAAGAAGCTTTTCCTTTCCCTTGTCCACTTACGAGTCGTGTTCATTCGCACGAAACATAATCCTCGTATTTTTCAATCGTTGGGAGAAAGTTGGTATTCGTATAAGAAGTATATTAATAGTGATTTGGTGATAGGGAAAGGTTTGCCTTATAGTCTTCCGTGCTCTGTTGTTGTTATTCTCAGTGTAAGCAATTGGAGAAAAAAATATCAGTTTTACGGGAGGAGAACTCAACACTGGAAGATGAGAAGCAGATGGTCAGTTAAAGTCATCACATCTTTTCATGTGTGACAATTGCTGGTCTCAGGCAATAGAAGGTCACTCGGCGGTTTGCAACAGACTGTATAATGTCCAGGCTGAATTGGATAGCGCTCTGGAGGAGCTGCGTACGAGGAGGGGAAGGTCCTCGACAACGGGGATATGCAGTTTGGAGGCAGAGTTGGAAGGTGAGGGGAAGAAGTTTAAATTATTTCCAAATTTTGAAAAATTTCTATTAGTATGGTAGTAACGCAGTGTTAGAATATATGTTCGCTTCTTAGGAGTTTACACACCACTTGGGTAAAAGTGTTTAGAAATCAATAAAGAAACATATACTACAATGAAAATGAAAATTTAAAAAAGAAATAAATTTAAAAAATTTAGAAAATATTTTGAGAATTTTTTAGAAAATAATTTAAAGATAAAAAAGAAACTTGGTTTCTTAGAACAATAGGAAACCAAATTTTATATGTATCACCAACACATGTGGTTGACCATGTACATATTCTTCCTCACTGAGAGAGGTCACTAGAATATGCTCATATTCTCTACGGAATCTCTGCGGCTCTGAGAAAGCACAGACGAAATTGGGAATAAGGGGGAAAAATTTGATAGGAAAATTTTGCAAAGTTGTTCGGGAAGGGGTTTTCAATTTTTCATCATATCATGGTTTTTATGAAGGTAAAACTAAACTGGAGAGGAAAATGAGTATGATGAGAGTCTGAGAATGGTTTGATCGCGTGCGTGCAAATTTTTTTTGCTTAAGTATCATATACCTTAACAGTAGCAAACGAAGTTGTAATATATGCTCGCTTACCTCAGCTGCGTTCATGAGTTATCTCGCTGATTATAGGAGTCCATATACGAATTCGGGTGAAGAATTTAATAAGAATTTCCGAAGATTATCCCACACTGTCAACGAATCGGCGATTTGGAATCGATTTTCGTCCTCCCTCGAGTTGGTGAACTTTAACAGGTTCGACGAAGAAGGAGTTGGAGCAGTTGAGGTCAACCGTCCAGAAGTTGCAAAGTGAACTTCGGGCTACTGACAAGGACGCGGTGGCTCGGTTGAAGGCACAGCTTGGAGTTATGCACAGTTGGAAGAGCACAGCAGGTGGGTGGGCTTGGGGATTTGCCATAGCAGAATGAGAGTTCGACGGTTCAATGTTGAAATATATGTTCGCTTTCCTCAGCTGAGCTTGAGAGTTTTTTCAAAAATCCGTGTACAGGAATCAATGAGAATTTCCTGAAATTCCCTCTCAGAATTTTCGTATTATCATCACCAACATATGTGGTTGACCGTGTGCATATTTTCCCCCACACTGCGTTGATCAGAATCGGCGAGACGACAAGTGTTGGAGACTATCGCGGAGAGGGACAGGCGAGTGAAGATGGTGATGGAAGAGCTACGGTGTCAGGAGGACAGGTGAATTTGATGAGAAAATTGGAAGTGTTGATGGAAATCGTATAAGTCTTGACAGAATATCAGTTCGCAATCTCATTGTGTGAAGTGTGTATTCTCATATCAGTCGTATATGTGATTATTATATCCAAAGTTGTCGTAATGGGTGGCGAACGAAATGCAACAGTTGTAATTGACAAAAACAATCACCCATAAGACTGTCGAGAGTTGATCGTCCTTCTCGTTAAGATTCGTGTTATTGATTTTCGCAGTGTTGAAATTGTGTGTTCGACTGCGGTGGTGATGGTGGCTCCATTTTTGCACTTCGAAAATCGCTGTTGGAGTAGTTTGTGTGAGGAAGTTGGATGCCTTTTCCCTGTATGCAGAGTAGAGGTCAATGCAAGTACGGTGTGTATGCTCGAGAAGATGGCTAACACGTCGGAGCAGCAAAGTATTCGGTTGAGATGGGCAATGTCGCAGTTGGAGAAGGAGAATGAGTGGATGCGGGAGAAGATGAAGTCGTTGGAAGAGGAGATAGACGCATTACATGATCGCATATATTTTAAGTGAGTTTTGAGAGGACTGCACGAAGTGTGTGCTCGAAGCTAACGCCGCTGACAACACGGCAGCGATGCGCATTAGCTCATTAGAGATTAGATTATGAAATCAGAGATTATTGATACAATAGGCTGAATGAGAAGATTATTGGAGTTTCATTCGTTTTACGTGAAGGGGAGTAAAACTCGGTGAAAAACGCGATATTCGCGGTGATATGCAGCAGTCGTGAAATATGTTTTTCACAAGTGTTTTTCATACCACTAGGGTGAAACTCTATTATTAAATTAATTCGAGAAATTATTAAACTTATGATGCCACGGAATGTTGCCCGAAGGGCGAGATAATCTTGAGTGATAATTTTCAGGGAAAAGGAAACGGATTCGAAGGTGCATAATTCGGTGAGTGGTTATATGGAAGCGATGTTGAGGTTGGGTGAAGTGGAGACTGTTAATGTTGTACTTTCTGAGATGATTGCAAAGCAGAGAGAGCGACTGAGGGATAGCAATGAGATGTGTCACCGCGCCAGGAAATTGGAAGTGATGAGGAAGAGGCGGATGATGATGGCAGGGGGAATTAATTCAGAAGAATATAATATCGACACGCAATGCATAGGCAGCAAGAAACGACGTTTGACTTGCGCCAATAGTGATTTCTATTCTAATTGAATTGTGTTTGTAGTGGAAAGATTATGTGCCAGTAATTGAGGATCAGAGCTTGAATTGCTTAACACAAGAACTCAATTACCAGTAAGTGGTAAGAATCTTACCACAATTACACAGAGCAACCTGCAGACACAACACTCAGCCAAACCGGCACAATTATGGGTCATATAACGCTGACTTACATCGCAATCGCACGCTGACTAACGTTGAGGCTGACTGCTCGAACGATCCAATGAGAGAGGAGACAAATTCGGTCATCCTGAACTGATTAGATCGGAAAGACTCTGGTGTCGAGTGCTATCGTTGGCATTTAGCCTCCTTGGGTCGCAATTGTTCTGTTGTCGTTACTGACCTTAGATGTCACAGAGGTAGAGCATATGATGAGATCATAATCTCGTTACCAATGTCAGATGGCGAATTATATACAGCAGGATATTTGGAAGCCACAGATTTTCAGAAAGGGGTACCATTGTACGAATGAGCGATTCCGCAAACAGTTGAATTTTAATTTCTTACTAGAGATTTTTAGAAAGATTATACAACGGCACCTGCGACCGATCACACTCGGCTCTTGTCTGATGCCCCGGTACCCCATACTCCAAGTACATGGAAATGTGGCTTGGAAGTGTTTTTCCGGACTAGGAATAGCTTGCCACATGGGCGGTAGTCCGATGGAAGGCTTTATGAGTATTCAGTTAGCCGATAGCCTTGAGAGTTTCGCTCCGTCAACGTAAGACTGTAAGAGTGTTACTGGCCAACACAATAGGCGAAGATGCTGAGTGAAACCGAAACTTCCCTTATGGGGTCATGACACGCCAATCTGATGACTTTTTGAACTTTTTCTTCAACCGAACATTGTTGTGTTTGATCACCAAAACTCGATGCTTCCGAAGAAATCTACAACACTATCATCAACTGAAAATCGACATACACGTGTTATCCCACCTATGATAGTGGTACATAGTAGCATTCTCGATATTGACCCCGTGGACGAACATGAGACTCAGCTCGCCATACCCTGCACTAGGCTGCTCGAGCCCCCAGAGCCACTTCGGGTAGTGCTCATCCGGAAGGATTTTCTCATCTTCTGATCTGTTCCGACGGAATTGAATCATATATCATTTGGTATGAGCTCTCACCTCGTAGTGTAGATGTTGAAAAGTTGGTTGTCGGCTGGATCCACTGCAACCGCTTCCTGTGTGCTCCCTGTTGATCCACCTGAAAATAATCACGCCGCTGCGCACTCTCACTTCTCGCGAGCTGATATACAATCATCAAGGCAATATTTTCGATATAAATTAAATTTATTATTAAAAATTTAGTAAATTTTTCCGAGGATAATGTATACGTTTGAGATTATTATAGCCACAGCACATAACGATTTTGACGATGAAACCAATGACGAGATATCTACAACACGTCGTACAAACTTCTGAGGGGCTCTAATGCTCAGATTGAGGGAGAGTTTGAGACTCAGCAGGGGTTCGGCGAGTGTTGTCAATTGTCTTTTCCACTTCCCCCGAAAGTGAGAACGATCACCTCCCTTTTTCTTCTTCGGCCCTCTGACCATGGCCTGAGTCAATGGGCGACAGAATCGGCGCAGGAGGGACATATTCTGATGGCAAAAACTATCGCGATGCAACCAGACCTAAAATTTTCTTCCGAGTGAAAACTGAATTATACACGTTTTACACGGCCGTAGAACTGTTGCTGCCACCTAGCCTCACAGATCGAGCAAGCGCTCTGCACCTCTGGAGAAGGTCTGGGGCGGTCCTCAAACTCATCATCTCGGAAACTACTATTCGCAAGATTTCCACGATCGCTATTTAGTGGGCATTGTCAACTCCAAAGTGCAGGATATCACCAGCACAGTCCTGGCGCCCCAATCCTATTGCGATTCGGGCCAGGGACGGTATGGAACATCTTTTCACCTCCTATTTGGAGAAGGGGGGAGGGCGAAATGAAACTATAGATTCTAGTTTAATAACTTCAGTTTTCAACAGATGCAACCAACCATGAATTCCAATTTCCAAAGTTAGTGAGAACAATTTCAAATTCAGGAACTCCAAGGTGGACGCATACTTTTCAACAACTCGACAAGAAAATCTCAGAAACAAATGATACCGTAGTCATGGTCATGATGAAGTTTCTTGCATCAATTCTGACTCAGAATAGAGTGTAAGAGAACTAGCCTTTGAAACGAGATTAATTGATATCTTTAGTTAGAACTAAGGAAGAGGAGGACGTCCCACTCGAGAAGTTGTGCGTAAAAATGACAAGTCGAGAAAAATGTGGTAGAAATAATGTGGTCCCCGGGAATGGTACTCACGCCGCCGCCGGGTGATACAGGTTTCGCCAACCCGGATTTCGCCAAAATGACACCTAACGGGTTTCAAGACTCTTGGACATGTTTGTTAGGCAATATAAGGGCAGGGACAGATTCGAACAATTTGGCGAAATACCAGGCATAGCGACAAATTTCGCCACATAGTTGTTGCGACATACGGGTTTTACCAAAGTTGGTCAAGTCTGGAATACGCAGAGTTTTGCCAAGTTCCTTGTTGGCGTAAGACGGTGCTGAACCCTGTTTCGCCAATCCTTACACCGTACAGGTTTCGCCAATTCCAGGTCGTTAAAGCATGTCAGACGAAGAAAGGTCCTCGATCGGCTGTGATGATGACACACCAATTTTTTTGTAAGTACTATGGTGGAGTGGTTAGAGGTCCGCGCGATAGATCGGAAGGTCGGGCGTTCTATACTCGGAGCCTCCGAGTCGGAGAGTATTTAATCACTCGAATCCATCAAAAACATTCTAGAATCCTCTGACTCGGCCGCCTTGGACGATACCGAACCGATGTCATCGATCAATAGGACCAGCGCAAATCAATAGTATGGTAGATTTGGAAGCAGTATTCATTATGAGCGGGCTTCAAGACCTCGTGACTAACCCGATGAGCGGTGTCACAGTCTATAGGTTCTGTAGCACTGATTATTACGCTGACCTTTTGGCTAACCTTAGGGGTAATATGATAGATTTGATAGCAGCAATGCTTAATCACGGAACGCTGTCGCAAGGTAAGGGACTGATATGGAAGTTTCTGTGCTTTCTGTAAACTGCTTGCCTAGTCAGATACAACAGTGACAAGATGACAG